CCTCTGCCACCCCCCTCTCTTGACGCGGCCGTGAGCGCCCCCTGGTGGACACCGCGAGGAGCCGCACTGCTCACGTACAGAGAGAAGGACCGTGGGGGGCCGGCTGCTGCGGCACTGTCTTGCCCTGCTGGAGGAGAGAGATGGGTGTCCGCTTGGGTCCCGGAGCCTGTCCGGGTCTGCGCCCCAACACGCTGGGGGTCAGACGCGCAGGCTTGGGGGTGGACGGGGGGCACACTGCTGCTAGCTCCCTGTAGGGGGCAGCGGGGATCAGGCGTGGGAAGGGGGGGGTCGGTTCTGTCCAGTTCTGTCCTTACAGCTGGACCCCTCTCCCTGATAGAGCACGCAGGAACCTCGTTTGGGGTAACAAACACTGGTTGCCCCCCCCTTTTCACCTGCCGTTTGTTTTTTCGAGAACTGTGGGAGGGACTGGGGGGGAGAGGGGAGTTGGTGCCAAACCTGCTGGGGTGCCGCTGGATGAACTGGGGTACAAGATGCCCCGTAGTTTGAGAAGGTGAGGGTTTTTTAGGGGCTTAGAGGGCTTGCTCTTCTACTCCAGAGGGAATCCAGCAGCCGGCACAGTACATGATGTCAGGTCGGAGCCAGGGGTGATTTTAGGGAGCTTTTTGGGGGTGAGGAGTGACGGCTGGGAGCGGGCAGGCAGTGTGTCTGGGGAGAAAGGGCTGTTGGCACTGCCCCCAGAGCGAGGTTCCTGCTGCCCAGCGGTGGCCCTGTGTGACCCGATCTGCGGTTCCAGTACCAGCAGCTGCAGGGCCCTGAGCTCCGGGGGGCGTCCTTTCAGTTTCAGGGGTTCCAGCGGTTCAGCGGAAGAGTAGGGGTGCCCCGTACCAAACTGCATGAGACCATCAATTGAAAAGCCAGGTGTTTCGACACGTTTCCGTCGGGGTTGAAGTGTACTTAATCTGTCTGCTCCCACTGAACAGACTCGGGGTTTCCTCCCCCCTTCCAGGCCTCATCTCCCCCCATCTGCCCCTCTCGGTACCCCACTAGCACCCCAAACCGGCGTCCACGCGCTGTGGAGCCCGGTCTGACCACTGGAACTGGAGGGAGTGGGGGGGCTGGTGTTGCCTTAATGTGGAGACTGTTGGCCAATCGGCACATAAAATGACCCCCCCCCTCTCCCTCTCTGTCCAGTCTAGCTAGCACCTTCTCTTTCCCTCTCCCTGCCCCTGGTCGAGCTGGCGCCCCATCTCTCCCTCTCCCTGTCCCCAGAGCGTCTGAGTCCTGTTCCGACCTCTATCTGGGGTTGGACTGGCCAAGCCCCTGTCCATCCTTGTTCAGAAGGCACACGCTGCAGGGCGCAGGGGAGCCAGAAGGGGGACCCCCCGAGTCTGAAGTGGAGGCAGCCATGAGCATGTCCGGGAGAGCTGGGGAGAGGCGTTAGGAGGCGGGGCTGGGGGGGGGTTCTGGGACTGGGAAGGAGTTTGGTGGGGGGGGGGATGAAGGTTTTTACGTTGGACTTTATTTTCAGTTTCTACATTCCTGTGTTCCCGTGTAATTCCAGATTATTTTACTTGAACGAAAAACGATTAAATAAAAAGACCAAAAAACTTGAAAGAGCCTCTGCAGTGGTGGGTGTTTTTCACTGGGGTGGGGAGGGGGGGTGGAGGGCTGGCTAATTCTGCCCCGCCAACAGGCTTTAACCCCAACTGGCCCCCCTGGGTGTTTCATTCAATTACCTGACTTACTGGGAGCTGCCGGAGCAGTTGGCTAGTTCTCATCTACCTGGAAGTGTGGGGTTTTATTTCATCCACCCCTTTTCTAACCGCTTCTTCCAGTACAGGCTCGGGTGGAGCCGGAGCCTATCCCAGTGAGCCGTGGGCACAAGGCGGGGTACACCCTGATCGGGGTGCCAGTCCATTGCAGGGCAGACAGACGGACGCTCACACCAGAGCCAGTTTTCCCAGAAGCCCATTGACCTACCAGCTTGTCCTTGGATTGGGAAGGAAACCAGAGCACCCACAGGAAACCCACACGCATTTGGAGGACATGCAAGCTCCATGCAGACAGCTTGAACTCTCCGGGTCCGGAATTGAACTTGGGGGGCCCTGGCACCGCGCCACCACGCTGGCCTGTAAGTTTTTCTTTCCGCTGATGAAATTCAGTCATTGAAAGGCAAGTTACGTCCCGTTGAAGGGGGCAAAACAAACCATTAAAATGCATCGTGTCAAGTCAATTAAAGGACTAATGGTTTAACTGTGCGGCAGATCTGGGCTCGAGCCAAAACCGGGGGTGTGATCCAGAGTCGGGATTGAGATCCCCGTTTTAACCCTTCATGGCAAGGCCCGTGGTGGAGAGACACGGCTGAAACACTATCGCCGGGGCCTGAGTAGAAAAGTACAGGGAAGTGCAAAACCAAAAAGACATGACACTCTACAAAGCATAGTGTCGCTATACAAAGTGGAACACGCTGCCCAGCCATGTCGTGGAAGCCAATACCCTGACTTCTCTCAAGAAACAGCTGGATGAGATCCCTCAGTCAGGACAGGAGGCTCTACTTTACACACAGGGTGGTGGGAGTGTGGAACAAGCTACCCCCCACCATGTGGTTGAAGCCGATACCCTGACTTCTCTCAATAAACAGCTGGATGAGATCCTTCAGTCAGGACAGGAGGCTCTGCTTTACTCCCAGGGTGGTGGGAGTGCGGTCTGCATGTGAGAGACAGTAGAGTTCCCAATGTTTTGCACTTCAGTTATGAACTACCTGGGTCACCGATTTACTTCTTCATATTTTTAAAAAGGGACACAACTACGGAATATTGAGACATGCTCGTTAGTTTCTTTGTAAGGACATGCAGTTTCTTGCTAATATTTGCCTTTTAAGGCTACATCCGCAACTGTTCTGATTAGGCTATGATATTGGTGACTATTTTAATTTTCCTGATCATACAAACGTGCAGAAGAACACAACTGCAGAATAGTCACTCTCGCACCAGTGGCACAGTGCTTGAACTCGACAGACGGGGTTACTGGAGGTCAAAGTCACTGCGTGTGGTCACGTGATCACTGGAGAAACAAGGCGCTATATCTCGGGAACGAGAGCAACTGGAAAGCTATTTTCAACCGCACAAACACAGCACTAAGGAATGAGACCAGTTTGGTTTCCCTACGACACTGTAGAGGGGCTGAGTGACGGCAAGGCCCCGGGAGAACACGGCGCTATATCTCGGAAACGGAAGAAGCACAAACGCTACTTTCAACAACACAAGAGTAGCGCTAACGAATGAGGTGGGTTTCATCGTTTGCGCTGTCTGTAGGGGGGACCAACTTCACGGAGCTGCTGCCCAGCCCTGTTGTTGGAGCCGATACCCTGACTTCCCCTTTCAGAAGCAGCTGGATGAGATCCTGGAACCAATGAACTATTGAAGTACCAAATGGGCTGGATGGACCAAAGGGCTTCGACTTGCGTGTGACCGATCTCCTGTTCTTCCAGGTCTCTCGGCTGTGAGAGAACACTGATCTCTGCCATTAGGCAAGTTTCCAAAACGCGAATGGTGAATAGGGGAAAGATGTCTGTATAAGACAAAACTCACGTTGGCTTTTCCGCAGTTTCATCCCCGGCGTGTTTTAAGTTTTGTGTCGCGGAGTAACGCCACTGAACGCGGAGGAATACCCATGCTGCTCAACTGCCCCACGTGCTTTGTGTTGGAAGTGCTAATTGGGAGGTGCTCCTCAATTCTCGTGCTATTTTCTTGTCACAAGAATGTGTCCAATGAGTGTGCCGGTGATAAAATTTCAGGTGATCATTTCCCTTTTTTTCCCCAAGGTGAAGTCTTAAACTTACCGTAGTGTTTCTTTATGATGAATTTAACGTGCATTTAAACCGTGCTAACATTTTTATTAGGATAAGTATTGCATTTGGTAAAGCTTTGGTTAGGTTTTGGAGTGGTCTGCCCCCTAATGCTATTTTCCCCATAAGCCCTGTATTTTTTTGCGTGATTTTGCGTAACGTGAGGTTTTACAGGAGCTCATCTATTGCGTTATAGCTCAACACCAGGTCAGAGACCCAGCTGGGGCCAACTCCAGCTCTTGAGTGGGGTTGGTCTTTCAGGTCATCCATTAAGAGTTCAAGGAGCTGGCAGTAGCTGCAATTAGCAGTGGGAAAGATTGCAGGTATGATGGGCAGTGGGGTCTCCGCTGCACATGAACTGCAGATCCGTAGACGGCAAAACCGGCCCGACGAGTGGAAGATGGTTTGGTGTTTGGCTGTCTCCTGCCTTCTCTATCACTGACCAAGGGTAAACAGAAATGTTGACAATCTCCACAGGAAAGGTTGCCCTTTATTGCTCACCTTGGCACTGTGTTGGACAGTCTTTGTCCGATTGTAGTGTCCATCTTAGCACTATATTAGTCCTGTCTGACTGTAGCAGCCAGCGTGGACCAGTACTGGACAGTCCTGTCTGACTGTAGCAGCCAGTGTTGGCACCATGTTGAACAGTCCCGCTAGAACTCTGCCCTGTACAGAGTTGGACACTTACAAATTGCAGGTAACCTGAGGCCGAGAGAGCCTGCAGGCTTCACATACCTTCCTCTGGGAAAGAGCTTTCTGGCGCCAGATCAATATACTGTAGTCGTTCAACATGAAGTGCTTCTGTACAGTACATTAACACTGCACTGAGAGAGAGGGGTTCATACAGACACACTGACTGACTGGACACTCCAGTACATTAACACTGCACTGAGAGAGAGGG